CACCGAGTAATCTTAAGCGCCAGCTAGTTCGTAGCCGCCTATATGACCGTCTATGTGCAACTCAAAATTGCATAATTTGCTCCAGTGGTGGAGACGGTGACTGCATGAGCTCGGGTATAGTTTATCTGATCTCCTGTAAGACGTGTGGTGACGAATACATTGGCGAAACGGGTGGACCCCTCTGTGTCCGCATGAAAGAACACCTAGCCGGCAAAAATAGACCAAATACCCCGCTAGGCACGCATAGGACCCAGAGACATAACGGGGACGACTTCGAAGTATGTGTCACGGTCGTCGCACGCGAATCAAGAACACAGGCGCGAAAAACTCTCGAGGCACTCTGGATTAATTCCAGAAATCCGAAAATGAACCGCAGGGAAGAATGCCTCATTATCACGCGTAATATAGGGCAGTATATAAAACTGCTTTTCTGATATGAGGGGCACATTATACTTCCACGTGATTTCTGTGCGGTTGGTCTCTACGTGACATGCTTAGTGGAAACCTCATAGAAAGCCGTGAGTGTGCAGAGCTGTGTTCAAAGTGATTGAAATCTTGGTTTGGAGTTTCTTTGTTTGGCTATGGAGGCGTCTGGCCGGGTGAGTTGCTATCAACTTGACCTTTCCAGGCTCTGAGGAAGGCGAAATCCGTCGAAACATCAGCTTAATCGTGAACAAAGAATAATAACACCTCTAGTATTCAGTTTCGTTCTAGTTGTCATCGTGTTTTTTCTTTAATTTTTATCTGTAAGAATTTCGAAGTGCCCAACCTTGATATTGCTAAGACGAATTGCCATCAATTTCGTGTTACAGTAATATATAATTGGGCGTCGTCGTCCAAGATAACCAGCTGCCTCTTGACTGATTCCCCACAGCTCATCCAGTATATTAGTTCCATCCAGAGGTAATTGCTTTTGCTAGAATAGAGTAATATTGATTGTAATAAAACTTATTCGTTTTCTTTTCTAATTCCTAACTCAGTAGGGAAACTTCCGCTCAAGTGTGTTTGTATGCCCCACATAGGTATGCTTGCCAGAAACGCAGCTGCTGTTGCCTCGGGCCTCATGCCAAATGCAAAATCACAGCAGTGTACTCCTCATCTGTAGAATCTCGCTGCCCCTCTTATTCTCACCAGCTAAAGTCTCTCAGGGTTCATGAAAGAACTCCTTTGGAAAGCAGTTTCTGTAGAGTGGAAAGAAACGAGTTCGTATTCTTCACCCGCTCACAGTTACCAAATATGATAGTTCCACACTTTCTATTTTTACATTATTCTACATGAACAGACACGGCATATTACGTGGGTCCCAATGCTTTTTTATTCATTTTTTCGTATTTATTAATTATGATGGCCTTCAAATGTGCGCGTCGCTTCGGTTGTTGGTTTAAGATTCTTGGTCTTCTCCATAAATTCTAGTGGCGTATATCTTTGGAATCGCGAAAACGTTGTGGATCGGAGGGAGCTTTTCAAAAAAGTTTGGTATCAGTTTTCCTGCATCAGACGGATGGTACACTCTGTTCGCCGGATCAAACTCGAACCAGGCTCTTACGCACGTTATACGAACATCACTACCACTGCACTACCCACGAGTTGAGTTAAACACTGCCGTCTGCTAAAAGAGTCTATCCAGCAGCATAACACTGAGCATCGTGAATGGAAACCTTTGACCAAAAACGGTAAAAATAAGCTGTAACGCAGGAAGTAAAAACGCTGATGTGTGCAAAGAAGAATTGCAGGACGAGAAAGCAATTGCTTCACTAGTTCCTGCTTGAGCTCCTCGACAATCGCCACAGGTAATACAAATGGGCCATAGTTTGAACCGATACTGTTACTTCTACATTCCTTGTATTCAGTACCACTAACTAAGTGGGTTTTTTGAGCATTGGAAACCAATGAAGGATTGCAATTACACGGTCATAATGAAATACGTTATTATCTCAACGGATTTCCAACATTCTTGACCTGATTTAGAATACATAGCAGATTCTTTAAAAAACTCCTTTCATTAAACCACGGTGGCAAGAGTCAATAATTTTCTACATGATTAACGCAACATGTCGTTGGTATAAAACCTTTGTTCGGCTAACGCTTCCGCGCCCTCGCCTTCTTTGAAGCCTTGCTGATCCGATTTGATGGTCGACAAGTGGTCGTTGTCGCGATGTGGGTGTTCGCTGTCGCACCGAGTTCTGTATAAAAAGACATTATCGAGTGAAATCTCCACATGAGCTGTGCTTCGTAAACAGAAGAGAATCAGCTGGTCCCAAAGCGATTCACATTGCACGGAGAAAATCAGAAAGAAAGACGGCGAGCGAATAAATTTCTCCAATCTTGAACTTCTATAATAGGCTTTTAGCTGTTGCGAATTGTCAATTGGAGGACGACGACGGATGGCCGTATTTTTACATTCAAAAACTACAGCGAGTGAAACAGCTTTTAATTGAGGACAACCTTTCTTGATGGGAGGAGAACAGATCAGCGGTTGCCAGAACACTTGTGGCGCCAAGTGTCGAACTACGTGAGCCAGTAACACGGAGGCTGGAATAGTTAGGGTAAAAAGATGCCTGAGAGGAGGCAAACCAATGGCCTAAGTGGTGCAGTGGGTAACACGACAGCCTCCGAAAAAAGTATTCGCTAGTTCGAATTAGGTCTATAGTGAGTTTTGCAAACCCGAATCCATTAGTATATTCATACCTTCCGTAAAGTGCTCCAAATGTAGGTTAAAATCCTCTGATGTCTGCAAAACACCGATTTGAGAGAAAAGAAACTTATTAGGTAAAAAAGACTATTATTGCCAAAATTAAGACTGCACTATCAAAGGTTCTTAAGAGCACGTAAAAATGGGTTAATCACCCAATTTTGAAGACTATTCCAAAAAAAGTTTTGAAAGCCGGATGTCAACGTTGCTATTCAAATGGTCTTCACCAATATTTAAAGGATCGCCTTTTCCCCTAACGGGCAAGACCCATTTCTCGACTGACCGTGGATTGCCTGAATCGACTGCTTCAATTTGCAAACCTATGAGGGGATGGGAATCTCGCTGAAGCCTGCTCAATGACGAACCAGATTCCTGAGTGCATTTCTTTTGACCACTGCGCTGCTTTGCTCTAAACTCCTTCGTGGCTCTCGCTAGTTCGTATATATATATATAT